TACCTGTCGTTCCTCTACCATTCTCGAGGCCAAACGATGAAAGGCCGGAGGCATCGGTGCCGCTGAGTGGAGGCAGTCCCCGACACCCCGACACCCCACCTTTGCCAATCCTTGCATCACCCGCTCAACAACCCGCTGCATTGCCAATGGGCCACAGTCCTACCCCTGCTGTAGCTTCGTCGCCGTCCTTGAGCCTAAATCGTCAGGAGGCATCAGGCAGCGGCTTCGTTCAATATGTCGACACCGCGGTGATGGAGCCGGAGTGTCTTCCTACGACTGCTCCTGGGCGTCGTGCCACGCCACTGAGCGACCGTGGTGGCGTGGCCGCCCCCTCACAATCTGTGTCGTCGGCCGTGGTTCCTCTTGGCCACTGGTATCGCCTCACCGTAGTTGATGTACAGGACGCAGAGCCGGCCTGGTTGGAAAAGTGCCACGCCCAAGGAGTTTATGCAACGCATCGTTCAAGGAAGGGTGGGCGGCATGAGCCACCATCTATGGAGTTGCTCTTCAAGTGCGTGGATAATCGTGATAAAATGGCCGAGAAGTTGCGTTCAGAGGGGAAATCCTGTTCCTCCAACATCTATGTCGGCTCGCTCAACAATCACCACTTCACGTTAGATTTGCCGTATGTAGATGTGGCGTTTACGCGTGATCACGTTGATATCACGGCTCTCATGGACATTGCACCTCCGAAGGCCAACAAAATCAATTACCTTCACTCGTTCCTCCAGTACGAGAAATATCCTCCCCTCGTTCCCTGCTCACCACAACAGCACCCCCCCCAATCAAAGCGATCGCATTCGTCCTATGGAGGGCATCATGTTTACGGCCACTTGGCTGCAGTCTAGGGTACATCAAGAACCTTTTGACATTGAACTCCATCGTTTCGAGGTTCTTGTTAGTGCCCATTCTCTCCAGCCTCGGGGCTTGTCGAAATTCTCGGTGCCTATGTGGCCAACGTCGGGCCCTATGGATTTCGTGATTCGCCGTGTTGCACGTTGGGCTCGTGACGAGATGATGAGGAATGGCGAAACACCATCTATCACCCACTCGAGTGCCGAGATGCTTCAATACCACCCTAAGGGCAGCAACTGGCAAATCGTGCTTGAACCGGATCTTGATCAGCCTCGCTACATGAAACATGTTGCCGAACCATGGACACATCTTATCTGATGTGATCCTTTTGTACCATTTGCATCATGGACTAATTTTTCTTTTAATTTTATCAATAATTAACTATACTTGAACTACTTAGGTAATGCCATTGTTGCGGGTGTATCCGATAATAATAAACTGTACAATTGTTGCGGGTATATCCGGTTTCCTCTCCGCCCACATACTTGCAGCTGGCCGATGCTCATATCTCTCTGAGACGTGCAATTGGAATGTTTGTACTCTTCTTGTTGGAGACCCAAGGATAGTACAGCAACCAATCCCATCACGTCTGCCCCCGCGTAGCACCTGCACCTCATTATTTTTTCTACCTTAAAGGTTGGAGACGTGCGATTGGAGTGTCTGTGTTTTTCTTGATTACAAGTACAACGCAGCGACCAATTTCCCTCGTTTGCCATTATCGTAGCATACCTCATCGTGTTCACTCTTATCCTCTGCACCTTCAAGGCTGGAAACATGTGATTGGAGTCTGTGTTTTCTTGATTACAAGTACAACACAGCGACCAATTTCCCTCGTTTGCCATTATCGTACCGTACCTCGTCGCCTTCACTTCATTCTGCACCTAAAGGTTGGAAACGTGATTGGAGTGTCTGTGTTCTTCTTGATTACAAGTATAACGCAGCGACCAATTTCCCCCATTTGCCATTATCGTACCGTACCTCGTCCTTCATCTCTCTACACCTCAAAGGTTGGAAACGTGATTGGATGTCTGTTCTTCTTGATTACAAGTACAACGCAGCGACCAATTTCCCCTGTTTGCCATTATCGTACCGTACCTCGTCGCCTTCACTCTCATTCTACACCTTAAAGGTTGGAAACGTGCGATTGGAATGTCTGTGTTCTTCTTGATTACAAGTACAACGCAGCGACCAATTTCCCCTGTTTGTCATTATCGTACCATACCTCGTCGCTTTCACTCTTATTCTCTGCACCTTAAAAGGTTGGAAAACGCGTGATTGGAGCGTCTGTACCTTGTTGGTTGGAACATCTTGACTGCAAGTATAGTGCAGTAGCCAATTTTATCCCGTTTGCCGTTATTGTATCTCTATTCAGGTGTGTGCCTTTTAATTACTCTTTCCTGCTTCGTCCTTGGTGTCGGGACCTTTTTTAGCTTTTACCTTTATCATCCACATCTTAGGGGTTGGATATACGTGTTTGAAACGACTGCACTTTTCGCGCTTTCCTTGCTTGTAAGGACAGTGTGGTAATCGACTTCATTGCGTTGCTGTTAGTGCTCAAGCTCATCATCTTGTTGTCGTGTTTTCCTTTTTTAACAGGCTAGGTCATCTGCGTTGCCGAAATGTCTGTGCTTTTCTTTGTTGCAAGGACAGCGTGGCGATCAACCAACCTCATCATGTTTGCCGTTATCGTCTTCAGGCGTTGTGTCCGACGACGGAATTGTGGTGCCTAAGCTCGTCAAACTCTTTTACATTTCCATTTCGCAGTCTCTCCAATTATGAGCTCCAATACCTCAAGAACAAAACTCCCCCCCCCTCACCAACCAAGTACCCGTTCCGGAATGTCCAGTCAGCACTGTCCGGGCCCTTCCAGCGCTCACCTTTCATTCCCCCTTTCACCTCCCCACACATATCTTGACTCCGTGATGCTGCAAGCCCCCTAGGACTTCAACAGATTCCACAACTCCGAACCCGGCTTACCTCCAAAATGCCAACCTTGATAGCTTGGGGAACGCTTTGAATAATTTTGGGGTATGAATGCTGCCCGATCTCTTTCATTCTTATTTTCCATCGTTTAGACATCCTGATTTTGTTTTTATTCTAATTCTTATTCTTTCAACTTTACAGTGTTGTTCATTTGGGCTTGGTACCCACTTTGCGCTGCTAAGCTGACCCAACAGGGCGTTTTCAACAGGGGCCCCTTGCCACGACGTGCCATGGTGCAGGCTGTGACTCGAAGCTCTCGCTTATGCATTCGGGGCCCCTTGTTGAAAATGCCCTGTTGGGTTGGCTTAGCAGCGCAGAATGGGTACGCTATAGAGCCCCACCCCTGGCTCTTGTCCCTATCATGGCCGTATAGTTGGCAAGTCTTTGATGGTGTCAAGCGTTTGTATATTTTTATTTTTGGTCCTGTGGGTGCGTTTTGCTCTTATCGGTCAACGACTGTGTGGGCCTCCAACCAGTCCTGGACGAGTTGCTCTTCCCACGACTTATCGTTACGCTTGTTCATCCCCAGTCGATACTGCTACAATCTTGTATTTGGGATACTACTGGATCCGTGTGCCATCGAACCGTGGGAAAGTTCTGGGCGAGCAGCTCGCCCAGAATCTTCCCACGGTTAGTTACGTTTGTCAACCTTGCCTTATATCTCATTTATTATATTCCCTGTAACGCTTAGTTTTACTGACACCAATTAGGCGCTGTTATCATTGGTTAAATAAGCAGTTATGGATACTGGGCGCACTGTAAAAAATGCATGGAAAATGATCATCCATATGTAAACGCCTCGACGGTTTTTTTTTGGTGGATTGCCCCGAAGGAAATAAGCAAATGAATTAACAGCCGATCAATTCCATAAGCATAACAAGCTCGAAGAATGAATAAACTAAATCGGGCAAGCGTCGCGTGACGTGGTTGCTTATTTTTTTTCGTCGCTCGTCGCTGCTGATTCTCGCTCCAAAACCATCACTACCGACACTTTCTACTGCTATGGAATCACTGATCTGGGATGACAGCTGGGTCCCCACTGAGCTTTCAAAGATCATATCGTACTTCCAAGGGCATTCACCATCCCCATCCCCCACTCTCGGGCCTGCCGTTGGAGGCCATCCAAAGCTGTCGCTCCGGGATTGAAAACTGGATCGAGTACCGAGAAACCCTCACAAAAAATGAGGAGAAAAAAACAGGCGGGGATCTCCCCGACATCTACATCCCTCTCGTCGTCACACAGGTTTCGCGTACTTCCTGCGAGGCGTATGTTTCAAGGCGTTTTCTTTGGGCTCCTTCAGACAAGGCTAGCCCTAATGTGGACGCAGTACTCGTCTAACTTCCCAGCATATCCAAATCCTGTGGAGATCCCCAGTCGTCCACAGCGAGTACATGGACACAAGCGCGAGATCCAGTACTGGGTGCAACAGTGCCGTCTCGCCCTCCTCGACTACACCCCTGCAGGTCAGGAAAGCGGATTTATTGCCGAAATAACGCACCAGCCCCATGAAGCGGATGGAAGCGTTCTTCCCACTTCGCTCCTTGCTGGCGACGCAAATCGGCTTTTAAATAAAGCCAAATCATTCGAGACGCTTGCTGGCCAGTGCCGCTTAGGAGCGAATATCCTTTATGCCGCATGGGGCCTCCGTCAGATTCTCGAGTTAGGATCTGAGTGCCTGGTAAGCCCCCCCCCTCCCGGAATTGCTGGGAACGATCTTTCCTGACGATCCTACAGCATGAACACATCCAATGGACGAAAGATGAAAAGTAAGTATATCGTATTATTTCCACTCACTCTTGCTCACACGGCGCCAGCTCTCCGTTCATAACGTTGGCACTGGCTGTCTGCGTTTCTCCTCTTGTCCTTCTGATGGACACCACCATGAATCGGGCTGGCACCGTTCCCACATGGACGTCGCTGGCGTCGCATGTCTGTCAGGGGGCCCCCTTCCCCTCTATTTCCGGTGGGGAGGTTGTGATGGAGAACGCGATCCTCCAAGTGGTGGTGAGTGTATGCGAGAGAGGGGGTCTAGCAGTACAGGACCTCTACATCCTCAACCACGCATGGACTTACCTTAACCACAACACCTCGAGCCCCCAAGCCCCCCCTCCGGACGTCGACCGGATGCAAGAAGACGGTGTTGACCTCCAAAAACGAAAGCGCACGCGCTCGCAGCACTCTGTAGGCCACTCCGACGGGTACAAGGCCCAAGCCACTCGGGCGTCGAAGAGGAGAAAGGGAAAGAAGAAGGCCATGGCTGAAGACGAGTCGATGGAGGATGGCACAGCTGCCGCTGTCACGAAGGGGTCCACCTCCAGAGGGGGGGATGATGACTGGCGTAAGTTCATCGCCGAGTTTGCTGTCCCCGACCTCGACGACATCAACGATTGGCCTGAGCTGGTCGTCCCTGACTCCACTTCGCGTGTTCCCAACTCTACCCCGCATCCTTCTTCTTCTCACCACTCGACCGAAAAGGTGCGTGTCCAGCATGATTGCATCATGAACGTCAATCTAATCGATGATCTCTTATTCATGATGCAGGTGTTGTATAGCTTCACCTTCTCTTGCGTCTCCACCAATGATGGTATGACTTGTGAATGGAACGAGGAGACATTCCAGTTCCCTAGCAAGCCTGATTCCGTGAGTTCTTTTCTTCCCATGACTAAAACAGCTAGTGAGATAACTCGTCGTTCCCAGGAACCCATCCTCGTGCTAAATCGCTTGGTATCATCCGTCGCTTGGGACTCAACCTGGTCCCCCCACGCAATGGTGGAAGCTGAAGCGCTCACCATGTCTCCCGAGGATTTCCAATCTTTGGTAAACAACCTGGGCCTCCTTGTCTTGGTCGGCCTCCCCAGCGATACCGTGCTGGACCGTTCCCTTCTCCTCTCTCGGTTGAGCAAGACAGCTCACGTTCAATGCTTCAGTAAGTTGCCCTACCTTGAAACATGCTGTCAAGCTCATGGGAATGCTCTCCAGATTCCGACAGCTCCAGATCAGGGGAGGATGATGAACAGTCGTGGGAGCCACTGCCACAAGTGATCGACGAACTCACTGATTGGCGAACTTCACGGCCGTTGGTCGTACACCACCTCAAGGGGGTTGTCCGTCTTCCTGTGGAAAGGTAACAATCCGTGTTCTACCATCTCTCACCATGCTGATGATCCGTTTCCTTTTCACAGCCTCCTCAACTCTCTCGACGGTCTCCTGTTCGAGTACCTCGACGAACGTGGAGGCGATCTTCCGGAAGATTACAACTCTTGGAGGACACCGATGCTGGCCACCGTGGGGTCGTTTACGGCTCCACACCTGGATGAAGATGGGGTCGGCACCGTCCTGCATTGCATTGCAGGTTACAAGCTGATATTCTTCCCCATCGAATTGGAGGTCCCCTTGATCGTTAAGTACGACGACTTGGATACCCAAGGTAGCATCGGATTCGAGTACCTGTTCCACTCCCCGAACCGGTTTGGGTGCTTCATCCTCTGCCCGGGGCAAACACTGTAGGGTTTTTCTTCCCTCCAGCGATTTTCCATGGTGGTTAATCTTGTTTTCTAGCATCATGGCCCCGGGCCAGGTCCATTTTGTCTTCACGGTGTCAAAGGAAGACAAGGGAGAGTTGAGCGTAGGGGCCCTGATGCAAGGGTCATTTTTCCTCTCGCCCCGATGCATGGTTCGATCTTTGCACGCAAGTTGGGTGGACCGACTCCTTCAGTCGCAAAGGGGTGGCCCCATGGATAGGTGCGACACCATGACAGCAATGCTGGAAGCATATGTCTTGGACTCACATCGACGGCTAACGAGTGGCTGCTCGTTGGTTGGGCAACCTGAGCCAAAAGAAGTGCTGGCTGCGATGTTCATGGCGTTGGTGTACTCCAAGGAAACGGAGGTCGATCGGGGGGCACGGTGTGTGATCCACCATTATGCCCGTCTGCACCCGGAGGACTTTAGCCAATTCAGGCGTGAATTCAGCAAAGTTCGGGCTGCCAACCTGCAGGATGGTGGTGACATGTTCACTGCCGAAGACGTGGAATCACTTCGTGGCTCCATGAAGGCTGCGGTCCAGGCGATGATGGACGAGGGGATCCTCGAATAGTTTGTTTTGTAGACAAGCTATGACACCCAACCATCGTTTCCCATGGATATGTTGTAAGACAGCAACGGTTGGTTCGACGCTTAGCGCAAGGATACCCGACCTACATTATCTCGGTGAGATGCCCGATGATTGATGTTAGGTTTATTTCTAGTCGGTCTCTACTGTCTTATCACTATATGTTTATTTAACATTTATCTTCCTTTTTCCGACCTGTTGGTCGCTTCACTTTCCTTTATTTGTAATAATCCTCACTCCTGTTACATTCGATTAATCGACGCTTAAAAGCTCGATGTTTACTTCGCTGACGCCCTCAGTTCTCATTGCGTTCACAACCGCGAGACTGAGGTCGGTATACCTTTTATCATATTCACTCGTTTACTTGTTCTAAATCTTCACCTAGTATTATTCTATTCTAGTCCGCGTTAGGATAAACTTCTTGCCACCCCTACATCAATTTATCTTCCCTCCATTGTTTCTATATATGTTTTCGTAACAATATATGCACGCAATGTAACAATATGTACACAATATATATATATATATATTAACTGAAAAAGAGTGAGTCCAAGAAGAGCAACAGTACACAAAGATATGGCACGAATCAGCCATGGTATAAAGGACGATTGCGGCTTTTCAAGTTATGAGGCGTGGGAAGATTCTGGGCGAGCTGCTCGCCCAGAAATGGTCACGTGTTGGGTGGTCACTGTACCGGAGTTGTCCGAATTGATATCTATTGTCCAAGCTGTAAATGCGGTGAATCCACAGAAACATCCTGATGCTGTACGCTGCACGCCGAGACCTAAACCTAGCCAACCTTTTCTAGAGGGTAGCATAAGAGTAGCAAGCTTCCTCAACGTGAGTGGAGCATACGAAAAGAAAACCTCAACCAACGTGGTGCATTGCTCCTCGAGAGCGAGCATGTAGGTTGGTGTTGCCATAACAGGCTGAAGCGCCTCCTTCCTTCTCTGGCTTCTAACTGGTAAGTTGCCCCGTAGCGCGATGGGACCTGTAACTCACGCATGCTGATCAGATAACGCTGGTCTCTGCGAAATTACTTTGCATTTTCCATCGATTCGTCGTGCGCGATCTTGTGAGTCTATCGCAGCTGTGAAACACTCACTTGGTCACTAAGGTGCTTGGCCTGGCTTCTTCCTTAGTTCTCATTCTGAGTCTTGCCGCTTTTCTTTCACACATAACCTTGATCTCGATGCCGAGTTACTCAACATATGTCGCACGATGAAATCGCAGGGACCGGACCGCATCAAGTTGCCAACCGGCGCAGCCACCCTCCAACAGCTCGATAACGTGGTTGGCACATAAGTCGATCACCTCCTCTGGAGGTGAGAGATCTTAAAACCCTCAGGAACTAGCCCTGAAGTGGTTGCTTTTTCAGGATCATGTTGATCCTCATCATCGTCCGACGATGGCCGTTTCTGCGGATCTCCCATAATAGTTTCTTTATAAACCACTCGTTTTTTTTCGTGTGACCTTGCCCTTGCAGGCGTGTTTTGGCGCCATGGGCAGGAAACCGGATCTCTCTTCGCAGCAAACCTTCAGTAACGACCAACAAGATGCCACCTTTTATGCGGTACACGGCGGAACTGGAGCAAACCGCTGAAGCCAGAGTCCGAGGGAAGCATGAACTTGGCGTTGGTGGTGGGCCAGAGCAAGTCACTGCTCGACCGGATGGGACACTCGAATCAGACCCTGATGCTTCTTCTAGGGCTAATCGTGCAACCTGCCCCCAAGAACCTCATCGAGCGAATTCAACACCGTACCGCACACAACCTTCAAGCGAGTCAGTGAGGAGGAAGATGACCACGGGGCAGAGTTTGCGTAGGCCTGGCTCACCAATGGCCATAAAAAACCCATGTCCCCTGGAATGCCTACGACGCCAACATCGAAAGGGCAGTCCGCAGCCTCACCAGTTGTGGAGGACAGCTCCGCACCTTTGGAAAGACAATCGCTTCATCGACGAAGACAGGTGCTCACGTACCATTTAAATACGATGACCCTATTGAGCTTGGGAACGGACAACCATCCAACTCGCAAGACGAAACTTACAACTGAGGGGCAATGAACGGAGGCGTGAAACAAATATATCGCTGCGGTTCTCTGGACACTGGGCAGCCGAGTTTCAGAATACGACCAGGCTCCCAGGACGTTCATGGAAACACCCACCTCGCTTGGAATTGACCCTGGCAAATTGTAATGGGTTGGCCCGGTACGAGCTCTGCTAGGTAGCCCCGTTACCATTTGACGGGGCCAACCATCAGATTTCGAGTGCCGGGACCTCCTATCAGATATGCGCAGTCTGATGGGGTCATCCTGACGGGATGCCCGGGACGTACTGACGGGGTGCCCTGGAAGTTATTGATAAGTAAATGTCGTGCTGAATGCCATTGTGGAAACGAAATGAGATATTCATTTGTTTTCTAGACTGGTTTGAGGAGCCCTCGCACGCTACGGCTACACACCACTTTCCTCCTCCACATCATCATCAGCCCCATGCTTGTTGTTTCCTATCAAAAGCCAAACGAGTAGGAGCCCTTTATTACGGAGGAAATGGTCAAGGCTCTGCACATAAAAGGTTTGGAAGCCTATGTTGGACATGGCCTGCCCACAGTCGTTTGTTCAATTGCCGACACTGATCCACGAGGGACATCCACAAATCATCATTCACCATCACCCCAGTAAACCCCCCTGTTCAGGAGCAACTGCCTTCAGTGCCGGATATTGTTCGACGGACCCCGCATTCTCCTCAGTCCACACAGGTTGTTCGCGTACAATCTCCTCCACTTAGAACAGAGCCATCTCTGGAGGAGCCCCCGGAAGGCGTACAAGTCTGGAAGCACCTGGTCCTCCAGTTCAGCAAGAGCTTCCACCTTAAGCAGATATCCTTCCCCCCGTCCTTCAAGTGCTGGCGCCGATCCACGAGGGACATCCGCGAGTCATCATTCACAATCACCCCCTTGCGCGCGGGAGCGACTGCCTTCAGCGCCGGATATTGTTCGACTGACCCCGCATTCTCCTTAGCCCACACAGGTTGTTCAAAACAGAGCCGTCTTTCTCAGACACAAAACTGACCCATGGTTCGAGAGGCGCCAGCCCAAATTCTGCAGCGCCAGAAGCAAGGACCATGCCCCACGCATCCACGCAGCGCAATCTATCCTCAAGTCTTCCCAGATCAAAAAAGTCGAACAGAGTCCTCGCATACGCATCTACTTCAACAGTCCAGTCGAACTAGAAATATGCATATGCCCCTGACTGGAACCGCAGTGAGGAACGGGAGAAAGAGGCTGAGGCTCGAGACGATGGTGGTATAAAGTAATCGCGAAGGTGATATAGACGCATCGATGCCAGACCCGCTTTTTACAACTGCCACAACAGCCTTCGACGAGTGTGTCTCCGAACCGTGTCATGGCACCGAACGAGAACGCAGTGGTAAGTCAGCCAAAGTAATCACGAAGGCGAGTCAAGGCTGAGCGAAAAGTAAACTCATCATGTGGACGCTTTTACGACCGCGACATCACCTTCGGGATCACTCGACAAGCCTGCCCTGAATCGTGTCGTTCGCCCGATCTCAACCCAGCCTCGTCAAGCATGCCCCGAACCGTGTCGTGGCACCGAACGAGAACGCAGTGGTAAGTCAGCCAAAGCAATCACGAAGGCGAGCCAAGGCTGAGCGAAAAGTAAACTCATCCTGTGGACGCTTTTACGACCGCGACATCACCTTCGGGATCACTCGACAAGCCTGCCCTGAATCGTGTCGTTCGCCCGATCTCAACCTAGCCTCGTCAAGCATGCCCCCGAACCGTGTCGTGGCACCGAACGAGAACGCAGTGGTAAGTCAGCCAAAGTAATCACGAAGGCGAGTCAAGGCCGAGCGAAAAGTAAACTCATCCTGTGGACGCTTTTACGACCGCGACATCACCTTCGGGATCACTCGACAAGCCTGCCCCTGAATCGTGTCGTTCGCCAGATCTCAACCCAGCCTCGTCAAGCGTGCCCCCGAACCGTGTCATGGCACTGAACGAGAACGCAGTGGTAAGTCAGCCAAAGCAATCACGAAGGCGAGTCAAAGCTGATCGCGAAGTAAACTCATCTTGTGGACGCTTTTACGACCACGACATCAATCACGATGACATGGTCAACCGAAAGTACCAGAAGGAGTTGCAACCGGGCAACATCGTTATTGTCACCTTCAACAATTCCGCGAGACTTGAGGGCTGAAGGATAGTATTAGTTGTGTCTGCAATGGAGAAGATCGCAAGTTGGGGTGCTCCGAAGCCTGGCTCTTCGTCCAAGAAGATGTGAGTAATGATACTTTAAAGGAAAACAAGTTACTGAAAGACAGTATAACCACGAATAGAACTATGTCAAAGTCATCGCCAACATCACACCCGCCACGGCCTGTTTTTTGTTGTTTAATGTCCCATTTCACGAGACTAATCACGGGACAGGGCTTACCACAGCCATGCAGTGATCGCTCCCCTGCCTGCCCATTGCTATCTCACCCGCCCTACCACCCACACCTTGCTCGTGCCCATGTCTTAACAATCTCACTATGGCACCATCGGCTCAATGCCGCTCTGCCCAGGTCTCGCCCATCTCACGATGACACCGTCACCGTGGACCTACAGCTCGCTTGGTTCCAGACTGTATGCTGAACGTTCCGGCGCGGATGCGCAGAACGGAACAATCTCAGCTGTGGTACGGTCTGAAACCTAATATGCCAACAGGAACATCTGCGCACTTATAAAGGGTCTCTGACCTATGCCTCCTGTTCCCCAGCCATTGCCAGCCCGTTCTTCCTCGGTGAGTAAGAACGCTTCGATTCAGCCAGGGTCTGAAATCGCTGCCGTCGCCTGACAAACTCTCTTGCCCACTTCCAGTATCCACAGCCTTATTTACAGCCTTTTTACGCGCCCACCACCTCCCCTGTCTCCTGCTAACCCTATGTATATTTAACACGGGTCGCGCGTTGCGTGCTCAAACCAATTCATAGGCCGTCCCCTCGGCCGTTCCCACTACACCTTGTCGTCCGCGATTAGTTGTAATTTCTCGTCTTGTGTTGGTGTGAGAAAAATAACAAATTTGATTAACTCTCGCGATGTAAGAACATGAAAACAAAATAAGGGGGCAGTGCAGAGTCCGGAGCGCAAGCACTCTTCTAGTTCTATTTCACGGGACGGGCCCATGTTGGGCCGTGTCCACTATGTTGGTCGGAACCGATTAGGTCTCAGTGTGAAGTGGAAGAATATATTGAGAATATTATCGTGAATTTTCACAGGAGAAACTGATTAGATCCAGACAGGATTTGACGACAGGATTTTGGTCAAATTCGTGAAAAAGGTGGGACTCGTCACATGTACCAGGCCAGGGGAAAATCGTGTCTTATGGTAAAAACCTCTGTCATATAATCATGGATATTGTAATATTCACTTTTCTCAGTGCGTAAAATACAGGGGAAAGCAGGGGAAAGCGGGGGAAAGCCGTCGAGTGGGTCTCGGAGAGATAGAAGTTATACGTTGGGGTGATGGTATACCAGAAATCCCTTCAACGCGAGTACCTCGAACAACGGACTTGACGTTCGATATCCTGGAAGAGGTCGTATTGTGCGTAGTAGAGCCCGATCCACTCAAGCTCGTTATGGGATGGATTCTGTGGTTGTGTCAGGTTTCATTTGCAGCTTACCAGCCATCCATGCGTACCTCCATGCTAAATTCCCGCCAACTCTCCACATTTTCCTCCACGCTTGACGGGGCCTCCCTGGTCAGAATCCATCGTACTGCCGCAGCCCATTCATCATTCGAGAAAGCTGGGTGCTCCTCGGAGCGACCCTCTGGCCTCCTCGTCAGCATCACCTCCGGTCTCGCTGGAACGTTTCTACGTTCCCTGAGGTACCCGCTCACCGCTTGGGAAAAATCGTCATGAAATTTTCGGTGGTAAAAAGAGTAGGTAGCCGGCGATCTGTCAGGATACTGCACAAAAATTGAATCTCATTCCTAACCTCACAGTACTACAACATACCTTTTCGTGGAAATCTCTCCAGAGGGCATATGGAGAAAGTCCAGGGTTCAGAGCGATGTGGGGCACCATCGCGTCCCACAATTGTTTGGACCAACCCCTTGGGAAATTCCCCCGGCCCCTCGTTGGTCCATTATTGGTCATCCTGGGTGGCGCGAGTACAAGATGAGAAGCCTCGAGGCGATTTCCCGGGTAACAGATATGGACGGATCACATGTCATAGCCAGGCGCGGGAAGTAACCTGGGCAAATTGTAATGGGTTGGCCTGGTATCAACCCTGCTAAGGTGTCCCCGTCACTGTTTCCAACCATTAGATTTCGAGTACCGGGACCTCCTATCAGATATGATGGGGCCATTATGACGGGGTTCCCTGGGAAGAATTGATAGGTTACCCAGGCAGTTTTGATATATATTACTAATCGGGCATCGTACTATACAGTAATACAAAGTTTCGGGATGCTAATGGGTTAATTGATGGGGTGCGCGCGCCATGTCGGCCAGCCTGGAATCTTTGTATTGTCCACAGATCGGACAAGGGAGAGAGTGGCATCTCACGTAATTACCTAGGTGGGATACGAGGAAAAATGTTATTTCATCGACAAGAACAAGCGGAGGAGGCGCCAAGGCACATCCAATTGCAAGGGGGTCAGAAACCTGACCATTGGCATGGGAGTGTGCAATGGGGCATGCATCTAAGTAAGTGATCAAACGGTAGATACAGATGCGGCTGCCAAAGGGCACAACCTATGCTTGATCACACGAGATCGCATCTTCACAGTTCAACATGGTAGTGAGCATCGAATTGGGGGCAGAAAACAGAGCGCTAGCTGAGAAAAGCATAGCTGTGCTTATCATAGGAATCCAGTGTCAATCGGAAATGTGTGGGGGAACAGAGAGAGAGATAGACGAAGTCCCCGTGTGAACCGCAACTCCCAAACCCACAAATAATTTGCGGGAAAACTTCTCACAGTGCGCGGGGAGGAATTTGTCTAGTTTGAGCGTTAACTTTCCTGACTATGTACAGATTTCACGAGTCATAGCCTTTTTTATCTTTAAAACGAAAGAGAAAGATCGTTAACTGCTTTCATAAGAGCGGGAACAACAAGGGTGGCACCGCTAGCTCAACATCACGTTGCGAGTTGGCCACAGTGCTGCATCGCACCGGGGTCTCTTCGTTAGAGTGGGAAAAATAATGGAATATGCAGCAGGATGCCCTGGGAAAATTTTTCCAGCGCTTTGCGCAAGCGTGGCTTATGTAACAGTCAGCGCCAGGCGTTGGTTTCGTGCCCAAACAACAAATTTGAGGCAACATTTTAGGTCTACAGTAGTTGTATCAAAAAACGTTGCAAAAAAACTTGTGTCTCAAACCCTAGTATACAGTCGATAGGACGGAGAGGATGATGGCAGGAGCGGGAGTGCAAGGACATGATGATGAGGGGAACGTGAACGTGAACACAAGGATACAAGGACAAGCAGGCATCACATTCCAAACACGCTATGGCCAATTGCGATCGCCTATGTACCACTTGGGCTCCCTTCCTGTCAACGCACACAGAGCGTCTGCGGCGTTCTGCAGTTCTTTCCATTTGATGGAGTCAGGGTGATCGTCTACAGCCGAACGCCTGTGAGATAACGTGTCCAAGGTATTGTCGGAGATGGATATCACTCGCGTCACCTCCGTGTTGTGCGATATGACCCCCCTGGATTTGACTGGCCAACGTGACTTGAACTTGTCACGAATACTCTTGCGAACAGCCATATAAATGTTCTCAAGCAGGAGCAGGGACTTTCCTTCACCCGGGGTGGTGGGTACCCCGAGAGCCTGGGCGAGAGGAAGCATGTCTGTGGCAGTAAACTGGAGACCGATACCAAAATACATAAGAGGAGGATCGCTGAACATGCTCTGGACGTATTCAGGTGGAAGCCAAGGACCGGACCACGGCTCGTGGGCAAGCATGTACTCTGGCGTAAGAGGACGCTATATGTAGATCAGCAGAGTTCAGACCAAGTACCTCGATGGAACGAACGTACAGGCTTGAGCTGGAGGGTATCTTGTTTCCCCTGTCTCTCAGGATCAGTTTCTCGATCATCTGAGCTATGGATGCTGAGGCTGCTGAACTGGCCAGTGGTAACATCCATGGTGGGGTGCGTGTAAGGGGGGGGGGGGGAAACTAGGGCTAACTCCGCTGATGGTCATGTGATTATCCCGAAATCAGTAGAAAATAAATTGCCGACGATCAAATTGTCAAGGTATCGTCTATTCAGTTGATTCCTCGCATGTGGCCCTCCGGGGACTTAAGCTTAATACACCTGATTATTATTATTATTGGCCGAGCTTGCAAGGGGTCTGTTTCTCTGGCTCTCCGCTGACCTGTAGAGATGAACATCATCGTCGCAGAAGACCTTCTCCCTGAATGGTGGTACACGGAATCCTTTGATGCTCTGACTGCAGCATACAAAGACTGCGAGCGGTCAAGGAATTTCGAGTATCCGTTTTACACCGTTTACGAGAAAATATTGGGCATGTGTATAACTCACATCAGTCCACCCTTTAAGGGCACCATCATATCGAGTCCACAACGACGTTTGGACGGCCCAACAACAGTGTTCAGCGTCCATCCAAATAATGGAAACGTCACAAAGTACCTGACGGCTACTCCAGATTCGGTTCTGGTATACTATCCAGGACCCATTGGATGGAACGAGTCACGGAGGTGCCAGCTGCTGATCGAGATCAAGAGGCAGCCAGTCATAAGTCGGCATTCCTTGAGAGAACCTCCGGCTAGACCATATAGCTGGATCACGGACCACAACACCATGGACTTTGCGCTCCGCCCGAGAGATGACTTCGAAGGTCATCTTGGCCAGGTCATACTTCAAGCCTTTGTGGCGTTCCATTCGTACCCTGATCACGATATCATATATCATGCACTGATCGTTGGGGTGCGATTTTGTCTGTTCCGATTTACACGACCCCAAAATCTGGTAGCACTTCCTCAAAAATTTGTGGGGGAAGGTATGGGCTGGCGTTGGTTTTACTGCCAGAAGGCTAATTATTTTATTATGTACCAGGGAAGGAGCCGGGAGCGGCATGGAACAAAGTCATAGTGTCAGGGTTGATCCCCCTTGACAGCATCGAGGTGGTGATGTTCAACGAACTGGCGTTGGCTTACGATGGGGACGTGAGGATATCACTAGGGTTC